TCATAATTCAACATTTGGAGTGTACAAGAGTTGTTATAGTATTTTATTTTGGGGATATAATTAATCATTTATAAGATGTTCCTAAAAGTTAAGTCCTTTTATTAATAGATATAAGGAAAACCCTCTGTTGTAATGACTTGATTTTACTACTTTCTGTAAACCTGTAATATTATAGATATTGTTTGGATATATCACAAAATAGCAACAACATATGTATAATTTATTACTTGTCTCTAAAGAGGTTTATTTTCCTAAGGAATTATTAGTAGTTTAAGATGGAAGTTTTATTTTGCCCTTAAATAAAGGCATATTTTATGTTTAAGAGAGTCATTAAGTCTCTTAATTTTCTCTTAATTGTTCTACTGATTTGATTGATCAGTTGAATTTTTGAAGGTAGGCTGGAGTATTATTATGAAGGAGTGTGTTTTACTTTAAAAATAGGGTTTTTGTCCTAAGAATAGGTAGATATTTCCTTCAGCTTGCTTTCTATAATCTGGAAAAATGACTTGAAAATGTTTGCTTGCTGCCTAATATTGAAGAGTTTTTATTATAGTCTTTAAAAAGTAATACACATAAAAAGGTAATATACACTGAGTGGCCAGATTATTATGATCTCTGAACGTAAAATAATCTGGCCACTTTGTGTGTGTGTGTGTGTGTGTGTGTGTGTGTGTGTGTGTGTGTGTGAATTCATGCACGGGTGGGGGCCAGCCAGCCTGGTCAGGGGGAGGGGACATGGGCGGTTGGCTGGCTGGCCTGCTGGTTGAACTCCTGGTCAAGGGGACAATTTGCAAATTAGCCTTTTATTATATAGGATATACACTCAGCGGCCAGATTATTATGCAGTCAGAGATCATAATAATCTGGCCACTCATTGTATATGAGTGTGTGCTCATTTGGAAAAAATAAACAACACAACAGAATACAGTATTAAAGTTCACTCCAGCCCTGGCCGAGTAACTCAGTTGGTTAGAGACCGATCTTGTATGTTAAGGTTGGGGGTTTGATCTTCGGTAGGGCACATACAAGAATCAACCAGTAAATGCATAAATAAGTGGAACAACAAATTGATATTTCTCTCTTCTTCTTCCCTCCCCCCCCCTCTCTAAAAATCAATTAAAAAATAAAAAAGCCTCACAACCTCACCCCATCTCTTCTCCCTTGAGTGTAGGGGATATCATTGTTTACAGATAGATGTTTATTCTTCCACACCATTTTTTGTACATATATGTTATATTTTTTACAAATATAAAAATTTGTATGAAATTCATGCAAGAGTAGGTCCTCGCAGCCCCGGCTACCTTGTGGCCCTGAAGGGACCGCGCTCCCCCCCCCCCCAATTCTTCTGTCTGGTCTAATTAGCATATTAGGTCTTTACTATATAGAATAAATAACCTGGTGAGGTTGTTTGGTTTTGCTTTTTATATAAATGAGACCTTAACATTGTTTTGTAACTCATGTTTGTTATTGTTGCTGCTGTTTATTTAACAGGTCTTGGTGAATTCTCAAATTCAGTGCTGATCTACCTCATTTTTTTTAACTACTGTGTAGTGTCCCATATATAGATATTAGTTTCAGGTGTACAGCATAATGATTAGACATTATAACTTCTGAAGTAAACCCCCTCCCCCAGTCTAGTCTAGTACACACTAGACACCATACATAGTTATGACAGTATTATTGACTATATTCCCTATGGTATACTTTACATCCCATGACTATTTTGTAACTGCCAGTTTGCACTTTTTATCATTATAAACTATCATTGAACATCTGTGTACCAGTATGTTTATATACAAATTTGGATGTTTTGATCAGATAGCATGAAACAAAATGTTGATAAAATTTCTGAAGCTTATCTCACTTTTAACATTGGTGGGAACAGCTTAGGAAAAGTACCACCTTCTTCCCCTATCTCAGGGGTCACCGGTCTTGCTTTCATATTACTTTCAGTTTTATCAGTCTTAACAACTATTCATTTTGAGAATGGTACTTGGGAAATGACTGCCTCTCATTATTTCCTTCTCTACATTTCTTTTTGTCTTATTAGCAATGTCTTATTTGCTTTCTTCCACTTTTAAGGAATTTTTATATAATGTACTCATCATTAACTGTGCTTAGCATTTTTTGGTTTATTGAATCCAATGCAAATAAATCTATAAATCCAAGTTAATACAATGTAACTACCTTTAGCTACTATTTGGGGGTCATAAGAAAAATGGAGGAGAACCAAGATGGCAGTGTAGGTAAACACCAATACTTGCCACCTCTAAACTACATCAAAATTACAACTAAAATGCAGAACCACCTGAAATCTGGCTGAATAGAAGTCCTGCAACTAGAGGAGTAAAGAAAAAAGCACACTGCCCAGCCAACATGGCTCTGGTTGAACATTGACCTATGAACCAAGAGGTCACAGTTCTATTCCCAGTCAGGGCACATGCCCGGGTTGTGGGCTTGATCTCCAGTAGGGGGTGTACAGGAAGCAGCTGATGATTCTCTCTCATCATTGATGTTTCTCTTCCTTCCTCTCTGAAATCAATAAAAAAAAATGTTGGCATGCTTAAAGTTATCCCAGAGGCTCCTAACACTATCTTCATATTCTTTTTCCTTTTTGCTGTTTTGATTGGGTATTTTTTTCTTCTTTATATTCCGAACCATATATTTGATTCTCAGAATCCTCTACTCTACCTCTGAATCCCTCTAAATCATTCTTTTTTTTTTTTTTTAATATACTTTATTGATTTCTTACAGAGAGGAAGAGAGAGGGACAGAGTGTTAGAAACATCGATGAGAGAGAATCATCTGTCAGCTGCTTCTTACACACCCCTCACTGGGGATGTGCCCACAACCAAGATGCATGCCCTTGACAGGAATCGAACCCGGGACCTTTCAGTCCGCAGGCCAATGCTCTATCCACTGAGCCAAACCGGTTTCGGCTAAATCATTCTTTATTTCACTTAAATATGCTTAATTTCTGACTGGTCCTTTTTCATTTCTTTGAAATTCAAAGATCCTTGAAATTCTCACTTGAAGCTCAGCCACCGAGCCACACCAGCCAAGCCTGTTGTCATTTGTTTATTTGTTTTAATTTTTATTGTTGAAATTATTACATGTTTTCCCTTTTTTCTCCCATGGACCTAGACTCCCTTGGCGGCAGGGGGGAGGGAGGGCGACCTTGCTAGCAGTTTTCACAGGTTGAGAACTGCTGCTGCTGTAGAGCCTAAGACCATCAGAAAACACAGATGTTTACAGTTATGAAGTAGCAACGAAAATAATTTTATGGTTGGGGTCACCATAACATGAAGAACTGTATTAAAGAGTCACAGCATTAGAAAGGTTGAGAACCACTGTTCTAGAGGCTATAGATGTTAGTAACCAAGGTGTTGGCTCTAGGGGAGGATCCTTCCTTTCCTCTTTCTAGCTTCTAGTTTCTTAACTTGTAAATGCATCACTCCTATCTGTGTCTCTTTTTCATAACATGGTATTCTCTTTGTGTATCTTTGTTAGATCAGTCATTGGATTAGAGCCCATCCTAATCCAATATGACCTCATCTTAACTTGATTACATCTGCAAAGATCCTATTTCCAAATAAGGTCACATTTGTATGTACCAGGGATTAGGACTTCAGCATATTTTAGGGAAATGCAATTCACCACAATAAGCCTCAAGCCTAATAATCACCTATCCATCTAGGAAGGGAGCCATTGGTCATAAAGGGAAATGAGTAAGACATAATGTGAAATTGCAAAAATTTATTCTCATTGCAGGAGAAAAGCATTCAGAATTTGTGTTCTGATGAAGATTTAGTTAAAATAGGAAAGCCTGGGAAAATCTTCCCCCTTGATTTTTAATTTTACAGTTTTTTTCTCAAATTTTACAGTTTAATGTCTCTGGACAGTTGTGTGGGGTATCTATAGAGTGTGCCAAACAGGTTTCCTGAAGTTTCTCTGCAATTTTTTGGTCACATTTTTAGTATCACCTGTGACTGAAGAGATTTTGATGATATGGAGAAGGGCCTTAGAATTAGTAACTTTGAACAGTATTTCAGGTGGTCCTTATGCCTGGAAACTTTTGGGAAGCAATATATACTGTGATAAAGCAGTTATTCATCACTGTACCATCTGAATGGTTTGATCTTTGAAGGGGATTTAAGATTAAGTCTGGATATGGGAGATGGCTTGGTGCTATAGGCCAAGGACACTGCAAATATTTAATTGGCTCCTTATCTGATAATGATCAGAATCATCTGAAAAACCTTTAAAACTACAATGCCTAGATTCAATTTCAGAGATTCTAATTCAATAGGGAAAATTTTTTCAAAACTCTGTAGGTGATTCTAATAACCAGCCTGGTTTGAAGACCAGACCATTAATATAATACAAAAAGTAAAATATTAGAGTCATTATGTCTAAATTTAAATCTTGGTTCTTTCACTTTTAAATTTTATGAACTTGGGCAAAATGATTAATGTTCTTTGGTGTTTTTAATTTTTACTTAGTTTTTTTATTTTTAATTGATTTAAATTTTTATTTTTTAATGTGTTTTATTAATTTTAGAGAGAGACAGAAACATCAGTGATGAGAGAGAATCATTGATCAGCTGCCTCCTGATCGATGCCACCCACTAGAGAATGAGCCACACTGACCAGGGCACTTGGGTGTTTTTTAAAGGGAGACTACTTACAAGGTATAATTCCTTGTAAGTCTACAAATTATTAATAGATGAAGCAAATTGGTGAAAATTTCGCATCCTTAAACTGGAAAGTCTAATATTCTATTGTACTTATTTTATGGATAAATGGTAATATTTGAGGTTATAGTGAATCAATAATAACTAGGTATGAACTTTTTAATTAAGCATACCACCTTTTGCCCTAACTGGTTTGGCTCAGTGGATAAAGCATCGACCTTTATTTATTTATTTATTTATATATTTGTTAAAAAGGATACCACCTCTTGAATTAACCACCTTTCTTTCTCTTTAAGATCTGATTACCATGGACCTGCGACAGTTTCTTATGTGCCTGTTCCTGTGCACAGTCTTTGCCTTGAGCAAACCCACAGAAAAGAAGGACCGTGTGCATCATGAACCTCAGCTCAGCGACAAGGTTCACAATGATGCTCAGAGTTTTGATTATGACCATGATGCCTTCTTGGGTGCTGAAGAAGCAAAGACCTTTGATCAGTTGACACCAGAAGAGAGCAAGGAAAGACTTGGGTAAGGTGTCAGTCCTCAGGGGGCTGGTTTGGATATTGACATTTCTTTATAAATCAATTCATTCTTTTTTTTTTCACTGACTCAGTCACCCAGTAAAGCTTTGTTGAACTACATTTTATGAAAGCTAATCACAGACTTGCTACCACTAAAATGTAATTAACATTTGCTCTTATACATTTCTCCATTGAATAACTATTTTTACCTCATCTGTAAAGCAAAGGCATTTTTGCATAAAAGTACCAAATATTAAAGGGCTCAACTTGATCCTAAAGGAACATTACCTGATAGGGAATGAAGTGGGTGGCTTCTCATCCTTGCCTTTTTTAATTTTTAAAACCTTTCCTGACCTATTGCCCAAGCCAAGTGTTTTTGAGTGGCTAATAAAATGCAAATTAAACCTCTGGACTAATTTCTCTAAAATTTATTGTTTCCTAGAGTGTCCCTCGCCCTCTTTGTTTTCAATCTCAGATATTAGCTTAATTAAAAACAAAAACTTTTTAGAAGATTGTAAAGGTAATGGTCTTAATGTCAGATATGAGTTGCTGTTTCAGTAATAGCAGGTCATGGCTCTCTCAGCCAGTGTCTTTGTACTTAAACTCTTGATTTTGGTAGAGTCCCAGTGGATTATTTCTGAGGATCTGAGAATGTCTTTTGGCTCTTCCAAAGCCTTACTTTTTAATGAAATGCAGGTTAATTTAATGAGCGTTTGCTCCTTAATGATCATAGTGGTGTTACTTTCTGAATTATATTCAAGAGATTTGTTGGAAAGTTGTACCACATAGAAACTTCCAAAAATAGTTTGTTGTCATGGCTAGTGCCATGATTAAGAGGCATTATATGGTTTGTTTTGAATGATACTTCAGGATAAACTTATTTTATTCTTTCTACAATATTTCTTTTTATTGAGAGAGAGGGGGGGGGAGGGAGGGAGAGGGAGGCATCAATGAAAGAGAAACATCATCAGTTGGCTGCCTCCTGCACACCCCCTACAGGGGATGGAGCCTGCAACCCCAGGCATGTGCCCTAACTGGGAACCATGACTTCTTGGTTCCTGAGTCACACCAGCTGGGCTAAAATATTTTATTCTTTTTTTTTCCCTCTCTCTCTTTTTCAACAATATTTTATTCTTAAACACTAAGAGAAAGCAAAAGATTGTTCTATGTAGAATGAGAAACTGTCCTAAAACACTTGAAAGTAGATAAAGAACACAAATAATATTAAAGAGTCATTTTTTTATTAGGTTGCTTTTCTAGTTTGAGAGACCATGGTCACTTTTAATTTTAATCTTATAAATGTGCTAACATTTCCGGCTGAAAATAGAGCTGCGTGAGGGAATTCTCATTCTTCATGTCTTGCCTACTAATGTGCATGCCCAACCCACATTTTGTCTGCACATATTTCTCTGCAGAATTACTCTTAAATAATGAAAGGCCCTTCGGTTAGTGTCAGTCAGGCACCATGAAGGGAGTAGAATAGCTCTATTAGCAGCTTTCAGTAGAGAGAACAATTTTTTTTTTTGTCATCAGTGAATGTCAAAAGTGCAACACATGAGCAGACTCCATTTTTGTTTGAATAAGATCATACTTTTTATGGAATGTATGGATGAGTCAAGTACTGCTTGTTTTTCCCAAATTTTGGAAATAATGACAAATATCCCCAGTTCATAAGGTAACATACTATTAGAAGCAATAATTCCTGGTGAACTTTTTTTATTTTTTAACTTATTCACTGTGGCATTTCTAAACATTGTTTTGGTAGGTGACTATACAACAGACGTTGGAAACAACAGATTCCCCTCTTCCATCTATTATAGAAGGCAAGTAATTATTAGGAGACAAGATTATTGTTCATACCTGTAGTTATAAAAATTCACCTTTTTTTTTTTTTTTTTTTTAATCCTCACCTGAGGATATGGTTTTATTGATTTTTTTAAAATTGTTTTTATCTTTTTATTTTTTTTTTATTTTTAGTGAGAGAGTGAAACATCAGTAGGTTGCTCCTGTACATGCCCCAAAGGGGGATCATATCTGCAACCTACGTATGTGCTCTGATTGGGAATTGAACCCCACCTTTTAGTTTTGGGAACAATGCTCTAACCAACTGAACCACCTGGCCAAGGCAAAAGTCACAACTACTATTTGTAGTTAATCTTCACCTGAGAAATCTTTTCCCGTTGGACTTTTTTTTTTTTTTTTTTTTTTGAGAGTGGAAGGGAGTTATGAGGGAGGGGGAAAGAGAGAAAAACATCGATGTGAGAGTATCACATCAATTTGTTGCCTCTTGCATTCGGGGGATCAAACCCACAACCCTTCCTTCAGTTTGAGGGCTGATGCTCTAACCACTAAGAAAAACCGGCCCTGTCAAAACCGGTTTGGCTCAGTGGATAGACTCAAGAGTCCCAGGTTCGATTCCGGTCAAGGGCTTGTACCTTGTTTGTGGGCACATCCCCAGTAGAGGGTGTGCAGGAGGCAGCTGATCGATGTTTCTCTCTCATTGATGTTTCTAACTACTTATTCCTCTCTGTAAAAAATTAATAAAATATATTAAAGAAAGAAAAAGAAAAACTGGTCAGGGCTTCACTACTATTTTTAAATCTTTAGTAGTAATAGCTACTAAAGAATTTTAAAACAAAGTTTTAAATTTCTTTTTTTATTAAGAATGCTGACAGACAAATAGTACACTTATTCTGTTTGTGTTATATTTTCAACCTCCCCCACCCCAAGAAGTCTAAATTTTCATTTAAGTGTCCTTCAGATGAAGATTTATTTGTTTTGTGTGTGTATTTTAAACATTTTATTTTACTTTTAAGATTTTTATTTTTTAATATATTTTATTGATTTCAGAGAGAGAGGGAGGGAGAGATAGAAACATCAATTTTGAAAGAGAATTATTGATTGGCTGCCTCCTGCACACCTCACACTGAGGATTGAGCCTACAACCCAATCATGTGCCCTGACTGAGAATTGAATAGTGACCTCTTAGTTCATAGGTCAACGAAGAACCACTGAACCACCATGGCCCAACTACTGTTAATACTTCTATAGCCTCTTGAAACAGTAGACTGAAGCCAATAAAATTAGCTGGCCCAAATGGGTCAAGGATGGAGCTGGGGAGCTTGACATTTATTTATTCATTTGTTTGTTTGGGAGCTTGACATTTATTTATTTGTTTGTTTGTTTGTTTGTTTGTTCGTTCATTCATTCAATCATTCCATCATCATCTGCCCCCTATGCCATCTTTGTCTCTTTTCAGAAAACGGTTGCCAAACACTATATTAAACACTGGGGTAGTTCTGTTGAAATAAATAGAATGACATTCAGCCAACTTCAATGAGAAAAGCCCATCTTGAATAGTTACATATTTTTTTAAATCTTAATGGTCCTTCTTTTTAGGCCTACTTATTATAACTTATAATGGCTTAAAATCTTTTGGGAGCCCTGGCTGGAGTTTCTTAGTGATTCGAGTATTAGCCCATGCACTGAAGGGTCTCGGGTTCAATTCCTGGTCAAGAGTACATTTCTGGGTTGCAGATTTGATCCCAGGCCCGAGTGGGGGCAAGTGCAGGAGACAACCAATCAATGTCTCTCTCCTCCTTCCTCCCTCTCTCCCACTCTAAAAATCAGTGGGCCCTAGCTGGTTTGGCTCAGTGGATAGAGCATCGACCTGTGAACTGAAGGGTCCCAGGTTTAATTCCAGTCAAGGGCACATGCCCGGATTACCCACTCGATCCCCAGTAGGGGGTGTGCAGGAGGCAACCAATCAATGATTCTCTCTCATCATTGATGTTCCTATCTGTCTCTCCTCCCTTCCTCTCTGAAATAAATAGAAATATGTTTAAAAAAGAAAAATCAATGGAGCCCAGCTGGGATGGCTCAGTGGTTGGGCTTCCCAAACAGGGCACAGGCCGGATTGCAGGCTCAATCCCCAGAGTCGGGTATGCAGGAGGCAGACAATGATTCTCTCATTGATGTTTCTATTGCTCCCTTCCTCTCTGAAATCAACTTAAAAATTTTTTTATAAATAAAAATCAATGGAAAAATATGCTCAGGTGAGGATTAATAAAACAAAAATAAATTTCTTTTGGGAATGGAAGGGGCAACATTGCAAATAATTTTTTTTGTCCTATGCCCATGTAGATAAAGGAGAGTATTTAAGAGATGGCTTCTTACTGCTTTATCTTTGCTGATTTAACATTTTAAATCAGAAGCTACAAGATTACACATTCTATGAAGGAAAATGCTTTTTAATTATAGGATGTAAGTTATGCCTAACACCATATCAATATCAGTATGAGTCTTCTCATAGTGACACTCATACTTAGATTCTAATCACTTTCCAGTGTATTCATGAAATGGGAAAAGACATTATTTGCTACCAAGTGACAGTCTTTTTTAATTCTGCATTTAATAGAGCATAAGAATATGCCATGGTTTCAAATCTGTTAAGACTTTTGATTTAAAGTTCCTATTCTAGCCCTGGCCAGTGTGGCGCAGTTGGTTGGAGCATTGACTTGTACAACAAAAAGGTTATGGGTTCATTTCCAGATCAGGGCATATATACAGGTTGCAGATTCAAACTCCAGTCAGGGCGTGTATGGAAGGCAACTGGTTGATGTTTCTCACTTTCTCCCTCTCCTTTCCTCTCTTTCTGAAATCAGTAAGAACATATCATCAGGTGAGGATTAAAAACAAAAAGTGTAAAGTTCCTTTTCCAAACTGGGCCGCTTGTGTGACTTTACATGTTATTTTAGCTTCTATGAATAGTTGATTGTATCTTTAAACTGAAGTTTTCATATGCACATGTTTTGAAATCCTTAAATTAAGATAACAGATCTAGTGAAAAGAAGCTCAAGAAGGGCAAAGTATATTGATTTTTTTAGTGCTCAGATTATTACAATTGTTTCTCCTTTTTCCCTCATAGCTCCCTTCCACCGTATATTGATTTTTGAGCTTTGTAATTTTGCTTTATCATGTGCATGCTAACCCTCTCAGCTTATTAACATTCTCATAATCATATGCATTCTTTCCATATTATTCCGTGTGTTCTCTGTTTTTGTGGATACATATAGAAATCCAGTATGACATCTACATATATAAAAAGGTAATGTAACGGGTCACAACCAGCAGGAGGAGATTGCACACGCAGGTGAGGCCCAGAGCAGAGACAGAGGCAATGGGCCTGCCCAAGCAGGCCTGGCAGCTCGGGCAGCCCTGGAGCAGACACTGGCAGGGGGACCAGGGGATCCTGCAAGCCAGGCGAGGGTCCCAACCCCCCCATGGGGTGCCTCCTCACATGGCAGGAGGCGGGACGCCGCCTCGCATAATTTCAATTGTGTGCTGGGCCTTCAGTAGTGTATAATCTGCTGGCCATTTTTTAGAATAAGCTTGCTACTGTCTTTGTGTACCTGTTTTGTTTTGTTTTGTCTTTTTTTCAATAATTTTTAAAATATATATTTTTATTGATTTCAGAAAAGATGGGAGAGGGAGAAAGATAGAAACATCAGTGATGACAGAGAATAATTGATCAGTTGCCTCCTGCATGGCCCCACATTAGGGATTGAGCACACAATCCAGGCATGTGCCCTGACCGGGAATCAAACTATGACCTCCCGGTTCATAGGTTGACACTCAACCACTGAGCCATGCCAGACGGGATTAAACAATTTTGATTGAGGTATAAGTGATCTCAGAACTATTCTTGAAAGCATTAATTTTTTAACAAGTGTTTTGTTTTTTTTAAGGAGCTGAATGTTTTTGTTTTGTTTTTTAAGTATATTTTATTGATCTTTTACAGAGAATAAGGGAGAGGGAGGGAGAGTTAGAAACATCCATGAGAGAGAAACATTGAGCAGCTGCCTCCTACTGGGGATGTGCCTGAAACCAAGGTACATGCCCTTGACCAGAATCGAACCTGGGCCCCTTCAGTCCATAGGCTGACACCCACCCACTGAGCCAAACCAAGTTTTGGCAGGAGTCGAATGTTTTAAAGCATGGTTTAAAGTTTTGAAGTTTTAGAAAACCATGCATGTTGCTTGATACAAAGAGTAAAGATGGGAATGGATATTCACTCCTGAATCCTGACCATCATCTGAGACCTATCTCTAGAGAGAGAGATGGGGTTTGCTTTTGGATCCAAGCGAACCAGCCATGGACTGTACTTGGCTTTATCCAGGTGGCTCATTACAAATCAGTAACGAGTCACTTAAGAGAAAGATTTCAGTTGCCTATTGGCAGTTTTGAGGACAATTTTTATTTCCATGCTTTAATCTTGGGCAACAACATCTGTTGTCATGCACACACCTGGCTAAGTAAAACCAGAGCCTTGTGTCCTTTTAACCTCTTGCTGGATTTCTCTACGTTTTCTACAGAAAGATTGTAAGTAAAATAGATGGCGACAAGGACGGGTTTGTCACTGTGGATGAGCTCAAAGACTGGATTAAATTTGCACAAAAGCGCTGGATTTACGAGGATGTAGAGCGACAGTGGAAGGGGCATGACCTCAATGAGGACGGCCTCGTTTCCTGGGAGGAATATAAAAATGCCACCTACGGCTACGTCTTAGGTAGGTCCCTACACCTGGGGGAAAAGCCTTGTGGAACTGGCACCTTGAAACGTAACTGTTTTGTCTTGTAGAATGATTGTAGATAAAATAGACGTGGATAAAGATGGGTTTGTGACGGAGGGGGAGCTGAAATCCTGGATTAAGCATGCCCAGAAGAAATACATATATGACAATGTTGAAAACCAATGGCAGGAGTTTGATTTGAATCAAGACGGCTTAATCTCCTGGGATGAGTACAGGAACGTGACTTATGGCACTTACCTGGGTAAGGGGCAAGATATCAGCCTGTGGCAGAACCCATGGTCTTGAGTCAAAAAAACAAATGGGTCACGCAGTGCAGGGAAGGAAGAAACTGTTTACCTCCACTAGCTCACTGCTGAGCTGATTTCCCTTTATTTTATTAATTTTAAATTTGTATACTGTGTATTTTTTAAAATTTGTTTAATTTTGGTTTTTGAAGGTCTGGAGTCTTCTACATCTTTAGCATTTTATTTATTTATTTACTTATTTTTAAATATATATATATATATATATATATATATATTTTTTTTTTTTTTTTTTTTTTAACAAAAAGGAAGGGAGAGGGAGAGAGAGTTAGAAACATCGATGAGAGAGAAACATCGATCAGCTGCCTCCTGCACACCTCCTACTGGGGATGTGCCTGCAACCAAGGTACATGCCCTTGACTGGAATCGAACCTGGGGACCTTTCAGTCTGCAGGCCGATGCTCTGTCCGCTGAGCCTAACCGGTTAGGGCCATCTTTAGCATTTTAGATATACATGTACCATGTTTTTTTTTCTGTCAACCCTCAAAGAAACCGTGTTAGATCTTGTTTAAAATGCTGCATTGTTCCAACAATACAAAAAAAAAGGCTTTGATATTTCTCTTCACATGGTCACATTAAGGTGTTGGACCTGAAACTCAAACCAAATTAGATTCCCTTATAACTGGTGAAAATAGGAGGAAAATGAGTTTTTCCTTAATAAGATCAACCACAGCTTTCCTTGATAAAATTTAACTATTTCAGTATGCCTGCTTACTGAAGTTTAGAAATAAAAAATTCCCATTTGTTTTCTCTGGCACATGAGTTTATCAGCCTGCTTTGCAAATGCTTCAAGGCAAATAAATGATTTTGATTGCTTTCTGATGGTTTGGTAACTTGTGTGCTTGTCCACCTATTAGTAACTTTCTTATACTTAATAAACTTTCCTGCTACTGAATGCTAGGTGGCGATCTTACTGAGTTGATGAAGGTGTTTCTGTTACTGAGATTCCCCTATGTATATGGTTACAATTGAGACAGGAATGTATAAATATTCCTTCTTGCATTTTTATCTCAAAAACTAGACAAATTTCTGCATTGAAGCAGGTGTTTTCCACCTCTGACATTGAGTGTTTAATGGTCTGTTTCCCCCACTAGATAACCAGCTGTCCGTGTTAATTACAGGACCTGCATGCATTTCTAGTGAAGAGATTTTTATTTCTGTGTTGGCTTGTTCTCATTCCTGAGACTAAAGTGGCAGTCTCTTTCCAAGCTTGACACTTCGCCAAGAACCAAACATAGATTTCACCCAATTAAGAACACGTGTATTAAAAAGTCAGGGCAGATGGAGAGGCATTCGTGCTTCTTTCTTTCTGGCTGGCACCCAACATGCTCCTGATTTATTTGGAATTAATTATAAATAAAAACAAAGGCAGGCTGTTGGTGATCTAAACAGAATGGTGTGTTAATAAATCTCAGCTCAGACCTGGGCACTCAGTGGCTGCCCAGAATTATCTTAAACTCTTTGTATGATTATGTGCATAAAAATCTGTTGAGAGCTCTGTTAGCTCACAGGGCAAATGATTCGATGTAATGGGCATTTCTCCTGACTGAGGCTGCATAAGCTGAAGCACTGGTGGAGAAGCAATGTCTTTATAAGGCATCTTTTCCAAGAGGCAAGCGGGTGGGCAGTACCCAGGGGATAATGAGTTGTCTTACAGAAGTGCTGAGGAGTGTTTCGTCAGTATTTCCTTGATTCCGTTTAGAGTTCAAGTAAAATCATCTTAGCTTCTCATTAAAAACTGTCTAAATGAATCTGCTTTCCACCAAAGGACCAGGAACACTATCTCTGCCACAAGTAAAATATGAAAAACAAAGATCCGCCCTGCCTATAACAAAACTGGATCAAGAGCCTACCCAAAGCTGTGAGCAGGCTGGTACTTAGGACAGATACAGCACCCCGAGTGTGGTGCTTAGGCACAGGAGTTTAGTCTTTAAAAAACAAAACAAAAAAAAACAATGTCAAAAAACAGGAAGTTTATGTTTTCTTTTTTCATCCTTATGTATGTGCACGTTTATAGCCTTCTTGATTACAATCACCATGTTTTTTTACCCTATGGAGAAGGACTCTAGCTGAGAATCTAGTCTTAATGTATAAATTGTCTTGTTTATGTTACGTAGTTGATAGTAAAACATTACTAAATGTTTAGTATCTGAGAAAAGTAATATTTTTCTTTAAGCCTAATCATAGCTTTGAATATACACATATATGGTCCCCAAAATCTCACGATTCAATAAACTCTTATTGAGTTTTGACACTCAACAAAGAATAAAGCTTCAAGCTGCTCTCTCAAAATAGAGCAATAGTCTTTTTTTTTTTTAAACATTTCTTAAAGAATGTATAGATTAAACTACAGTGTTAAAAGTTAGCAGTGTGATATTAAAGAGGCCCCATGTGTCTTTTTATAAAACCAGTACCAGATCTTTTTATTTGGTCAGTATGTTATAGGAATAATCATTCCTCACATTTTAATGTAGTGTCTTACTTTCAAAGAGGTGATGTTCTATTGCTTGAATCCAGGTGGCCTATAATGGGAAAGAAGACCTTTGATATCTAGCTTCATAGCGGGGGCCTGCCTACTGTTTAACAAAAATAGCAATAGCTAACATTTATTGGAGGCCAACTATCTGCCAGGCATCTATATTTATTTGCTCATTTAAACTTCAATAGTCCTATGGGGCTGGAACCATTATCTTCATTTTACAGATGGGTAGATTGAAGCACAGTTAGGTTACTTGCCCAAGGTCACACAGCTAGGAAGTGTGGATTCAAGTTTGGATCCAAACCCAAACTGTATGGCTTTAGAATCATCACTGCACCGCAGACATAACTAGAAAACTCAAGTCCCCAAACAGCCTCAACCCCCAATAACTGAAGAATTATGTAGTGGGTTACGTAGCCCAGGAGCCAGGGCTCCATGTTGAATGGCAAATATTTACATTTGATTTGGACCTGATTTTGATTACCAAAACTGAATGAATGTCTCTCCTGCTGCAATTGATCTGTGTAATCAAGAGGTATTTCTTCATTATTTGGTCTATCTTTCTTGGAAATTGATTCTCCAGCCCACACATTTTCACACTTTTTAGAAGTCTTTTAAGATTTAACCTAAATTTTTGTTTTTTAGATGACCCAGACCCTGATGATGGATTTAACTATAAACAGATGATGGTTAGAGATGAACGGAGGTTTAAAATGGCAGACAAGGATGGAGACCTCATTGCCACAAAGGAGGAATTCACAGCTTTCCTGCACCCTGAGGAGTATGATTACATGAAAGATATAGTAGTACAGGTGGGTGACAGCAAAGATTCTCAATAGAAATGTGGTTTCTGTTTGCTACTTACACGTCTCTCCCCTTCCCTCTGTGTTTAGAAGAATGACTTGCTATTCAAGTGTTGGCCAGCTTGAGTCCAGGCTCGGTCACTGTTTTTCTAAGATCAAGTCATTTTCTTAAGTGCCTTAGCCTTTCTCTTTAGTATGACAGTATTTATCATCAGATAATGTATTTTGCCATCTCATTGTTGGTTTTATAAGCATGAGAAAAAATCCTATATTTTAAAATATCCCGTGACCAGTAATCAGGTTCTGAGTAATAACAATATTGAATAGTTCTCACTGAAAGAAGTTACCAGTAAAACATAGGTTGTAGCTATAGATATATTCAATGATCACATCTCCTGTTAGTATGACTTCTGTATGACTAGGACCAACAGATCATCATGGGCTTGGTGGATAGTTCATTATTAAGCAATGCCAGTGTTCCTTCAAGAAGATTCATAGTTCTTTTAGGTTGAAACATAAAACATTGATAATATTTTATCATTTTCCTATGAGAAAAACAACAATTTTATATGTTTAGCCAAATTCATCATTTACATATAAGCATAAACATACATGTATGTGTGTGTGTTTATGGATGATGAATAATTGCCTAAACAAATTGACCCTTATACTACTTTAATAGTCTTTTCCTAATCTCTCCTATCTAGGAAACAATGGAGGATATAGATAAGAATGCTGATGGTTTCATTGATCTAGAAGAATATATTGGTAAGTTTCTCTTAAGAAGCTGAGAAGCTTTGGAAGATATATGTTCACCCATAGAGATAATTTACCCCATTGGTCAACTTTTAGCACATTAAGCCAGACCAGTGGGAGAAATAGGGGTATGGTAAAGTATTTGTAACAGTACTGTCCATTCAAAATGTAAATGTGAGCCACATACATAATTTTTAGCTTTTTCATAGCCATATGAAAAGAGCCCTGGCCCCTTTAGCTCATTGGTTGAGCAATGTCCCATGCACTGAGAGGCTGCTGGTTCAATTCCCGGTCAGGGCACATGCCCTTGTTGCGGACTCATCCCCAGTCAGGCGAGCAGGATGCAGCAATAAATGTTTTTCTCATATCAATGTTCCTCTTTCCTTCCCTGCCCCTCCCTCGCCACCCCCCCACCCCCCCCAAACACACACACACACCTCTCAAATCAGTAAAAACAGCCATGGCTCATTTGGCTCAGTGGATAGAGCATTGGCCTGTGGACTGAAGTGTCCCAGGTTCGATGTGGTCAAGGATATATACCAGGTTGCAGGCTCGGTCCCAGGATGGAGGGAGGCGGGGGCATGCATGTGCAGGAGGCAGCCAGCCAATCAGTGATTCTCTCTCATCATTGATGTTTCTATTTCTCCCTCCTTTCTGTTCTGAAATCAGTAAAAGTATATTTTAAGAAACAAAAGCATATTTTTAAAAAATAAACATAAAATTAATTTCAATAATATTTTATGTAACCAAATATTATAATCTCAATATTATCATAAACTATTGAGGGTTTTTGTTTTTCATACTAAGTTTTTAAAAGTGTATTTCACACAGCACATCTCAGTTAGGACCAGCCACATTTCAAGTCTCGATAGTCACATGTAGCCAGTGGCTACCATACAGGCCAGCACTGAGATAGTACATCCCGGATGCCCTGTGGAAGTGACACTGAAGAGTTGAGGGAACCTAGACTGGCATAAGGAAACCCAGGAGAAGAAGATAGAAATAGAATAAAAGAGAGGTGGATGAATGAGACGGATGAATAAGGGGCCAGGATTCCTGGTTTCGCTTTAGAGCCTTTTGTTTTCACTATTCAATTCAGATTTTTCCATTTAGGTTCTCTTTTTAATCCTCACTCGAGGATATTTTTCCATTGATTTCTTAGAGTAGAAGAGAGAGGGAAAGACAGAGAGAAATATCAATGTGAGAAAAACACATTGATTGGTTGCCTCCTGCATGCTCCCTGATGGGTCTGGACTGAGAGGATCCTGCAACCGAAGTACATGCCCTTGACCAGAATTGAACTGACACCGTTCAAGCCACATGCCAACTCTCTATCTATTGAGCCAAATCAGCTAGGGCTATTTGTGTCCTTTTTAAAAAAATATATGTTTTTATTGCTTTCAGAGAGGAACGGAGAAGAGTAAGAGAGAGAGAGAGAGAGAGAGAGAGAGAGAGGGAGAGAGAAACATCAGCACAGTGGAAATAAATGCCTCTGTGCATTTACTGAGCTCATTTCCCCACTGGGGAATTGAGCCCACAACCCAGGCATATGCCTTGACCGGGAATGGAACCGAGACCTAGTTCATAGGTCAGTGCTCAACTACTGAGCCATACGACTAGGCCAGTGGTCGGCAAACTGCGGCTCGCGAGCCACATGCGGCTCTTTGGCCCCTTGAGTGTGGCTCTTCCACAAAATACCACGTGCGGGCGTGCACGTACAGTGCAATTGAAACTTCGTGGCACATGCGCAGAAGTCGTTTTTCAGCTCTCAAAAGAAATTTCCGTCGTTGTACTATTGATATTTGGCTCTGCTGACTAATGAGTTTGCCAACCACTGGGCTAGGCAATGTTTTTTTGTTTATTTTGTTTTTAAGATAAGGACTCTCTTTGCTTTCATATCACTCAATAGTTGGAAATATTCTTGTTGCAAAGTCACTTAAGATTCAGGAAAGTATCTTGTTTTCTAAGTTCTCTAAAATACTGCTGTTAGCTTCCACATTAGCATGGAGCAGTTGTGGGAAAAAGGCAAACCCGTCTTTTCTATGTATGACTGTGCACATAGGTGACATGTACAGCCATGATGGAAATGCTGATGAACCAGAATGGGTAAAGACGGAGAGAGAACAATTTGTTGAGTTTCGAGATAAGAACCGAGATGGAAAGATGGACAAGGAAGAGACCAAAGACTGGATTCTCCCTTCAGATTATGATCATGCAGAAGCAGAAGCCAGGCACCTAGTCTATGAGTCAGACCAAAATAAGGTAAGTCTGGCCAGGCCCCAACAATCTTAACAATGATGGAAGTCTATTTATAGGGGATTGACTAAAAAATCCCGATTAAGGTACATAAAGCATTTGCAGTCTTAATTAATCTAAGTTGGTAATTAAAAGCTTACAGGGCAGCACTAGCTATCTGATCTCATTTTAGAAATCCCTTTGCCCAGTGTACATAGCATTGAAGGCGTTTAGCGTCAGAAGAGAACCTCTGTGTATAGCCTCTGCCCAGCGTGTATCATCTGTTCTCTGTGGGTCCCCAGGATTCTTTCTTTTTCACTTTGTTCTTTTACCAGTTACAGATTCATTTTGCCTACTCAAAGCTGGTTATTTCCTTCTTAAATCAAAGATGCTTTTAGAATTAAGTCCTTAGCAGAATGTTGTAAGAAAACTTTTTCTGGAGCCTGTTAATATTGTCCTTAGTCAGTTATCTGAGGTATTTGGTTCATTAAAAGAGTGGTGTTACTTATCTAAATTTAGGGATTTTTAGTATCTGAACATTCTTTTTATCTAGGCTAATCTTCCGTTTCAAACGCAGTTTCTTGTCATGAAGCATTTTTAAGGGTCAGTCTGTTTTGAGGTCTTACTCAGTCACTTCAGTAGCCAGGTGTTGTGACCTGTGAGGTTTTACGAAAAAGGAACTCATGCAATCATCCCTTGGGAATGTGCCCTAGATAATTTTTTAGATGGTATCTGAGCCTTCATTTGGGGTTGTGTCTGGAATCTGATTGATAGCTGGAACTGCTTGAAGTATTTCACCTAGTTCTTTACTGTCTACCCTTAGTCCACTTTTTGCTCCAAAGGGGGGCATTCTCTCCTAAAGAAACCTGTATCTCTAGCGTTGAGTTATTGAGCTATATTATTTCTAGCCTTCCACTTTTAACTTTCTTGATAAGAAAAAGGTATTGTTTGTGTGTGTGTGTGTGTGTGTGTGTGTGTGTGTGTGTGTGTGTGTACACACACAGGTCGGGGTGGAGGGTATAGTTCACATAACATTCACTGGGAATTAGAATCTTAAATCTTGCCAAACCACTATTGATTCTTCTAGAGCAGTGTTTCTAAATATAGGATGGGAAATATATCTGCCTCAATTCACTGTTCTCTGATTTCAGGATGGCAAGCTCACCAAGGAGGAGATTGTTGACAAGTACGATTTGTTTGTGGGCAGCCAGGCCACAGATTTTGGTGAAGCCTTAGTCCGGCACGATGAGTTCTGAGCTGCAGACAGAGGAACCCACGTTTCTTCAAAAAATAATTTATTTTTACAGCTTCTGGTTTCACATGAAATTGTTTGCGCTACTGAGACTGTTATTACAAACTTTTTAAGACATGAGAAAACATAACGAAAACCATCCCGTCCCCATTCCTTCTCCTCTCTAAGGGATAGGAGGAAAACTGTGCTTCTGAGGAACAACTAATTAGTACATTTGTGTTTGTAGATTTACACTTTGTATTATGTATAACATGGTGTTTTATTTTTGTATTTGTTCTTTGATTGGGAGTATGATATGCAGGATTAAGATCCTCAACTCATAGGCAAAAATTAGTCCTTCACTCTTTCTCAACTCTTACCATGTAATTTTTATAATTCTGACTTAACTAATTTTTTAAGCCTGAGATCATTAAGAAATGTTTGGAAGAGAGGAAAAAGAAAAAATATACCCCACTCTTTATATCTAGAAAGATGATCATCTTCCCTATTGGAAGGTATATTTCATCAATAGAAGGGGCCATATGTTTTATTCAGTTGCTACAGGTCCAGCAACTGATTGTGGCATTATCTGGGCAAGGACAGATTCCTGTGCTGTAAGAAATCTTGGCTCAACTTGATTTTATTCATCCTTTTTTTTTCTTTTCCTGTATGACTAGCTGTTTGCTAATTTTGTCAAGCACAGGTGTGGTAGGAAGAGTTAGGGCCAGTGTCCTGAAAATCAAGTACGAATGTGATCTTTTTGCAGAGCTATAAATAGGAACAACTGGAAAACTAAAGGGCAAATACAAGTGTTTTCAGGGCACACGATTTCGTCTGGGAGTGCATCTGTTGAAGTGCTCAAGACTGTCTTGCCTATTGAATCACTGTAAGTGCTCCATTTGGCTCCTATTTCCCCAGATGTTCCCAGGAGTTAATTTTGCTTTCACTGCAGTTAAAATGTGCTGCTTTCCAATCATGTCATTGAAAGTGCCTTTAACAAGAGAAAAGATCACTGAAGGAGGACTTTCTTAAGAAACCCTAAGATAAAGAGAAGATTGTTTGGACCACCTTATAGGAAAGCTTAGAGCCCCCCGATGTAGTGGGGATTTTTTTCTTCTTCTTCTCTTTCAGACAGTGGTTAAATAGCAGTATTAGTGTTGCAGTGTTTGTATTTTGTGGGCTGGCTTCTAAAAACCACATGCTGCTGAATTTACCAGAGATCCTCATACCTCAGAATGCTAACCACTTACCACCAGGCCATGTCTGTGTCAACTAGAGAGCTTGAGTCAGACTCGAAGCTGAGAGGCCTGCAGAGAGGGCACTTGGGTTTGAGGACCGTTGCTTACCCTTCCTGCCTCTCACCAATCACTCCCTATTCCCCCACCACCCGCTGCCAAACGAAAAGCTTATCTTGGATCAACAGATTGCCAGTCCTTATCAGAGAGACCTTGTAGAAAGAGCTGAAGAAGCTGCCACTCACTCTATCCCTGTTTTACATAACACAAACTGTCTTTTTGGTCCTTTCTAGCAGATGGACCTCTTGAGAGAATTTATTGTATTCCAAGTTTTTAGCCCTCAGGTTACTAAGATAAATATATATATATATATATCTAACCTTTATTATTTCATATATCTTTCTGGATAATATTTGGGTGGTGCTGGGTGATTATTATAACCTGAACTTAGGTATATCCTTTGGTCTTCCATGATCATGTTGAGGTGGGCTACTTGGCCTGGTGAAAAGCCAGATATCCTGTAACTTCACCCCAGCCTTTGCATTGAGCTCTTGAGAGTAGATATACTCTTTTAAGTTTAATCCCCATATAAGGGGCATGGAAATTCTCTGCCTTCCAGATCCCCCATTTTTCTTGTTAAGACCAGAGATAACTAATAGTGCCACCAATCCTGGCTTCGTTAGAGCACATCAGGACTGGCAGGAGAGCCTCGCAGCTCACAGGGCAGAGAACCCAGGCCTATGTTACAGTCACACAGAAAGCAAACCTTCAGCTGCTGAGACAGCAACTGCTGGCTGCTCAGCAGCAAGCATTGTACTCAAATCTCGAATGATCCCCTTGGATTGTTTTTTTGTTCGTTTAAATCAAGCCTGGGGCTGTTGGACAGTAGCTGCACACCCATATTGTGTGTCCTGTGAGTGCTAGCTCTCTTGAATTTGAATGTTGGTTATTTTTTATAGAGTGTAAACCAAGTTTTATATTCTATAATGCAAACAGGTACCTATCTGTTTCTAAATAAAACTGTTTACATTCGTTGTGGAGTATGTGTCGCCTTTATTCGCTTAAGAAATAGAATGCTTGCTCAGAATTGTTAGTGTTCTAAAATGTCAGAGAAGGAGCTCTCCTGGAAGGGTTATGTACCCTCCTCAATCAAAGAAGTCACTGCCTTCTTCCCAATTGGCTACTCTTTTCTTCCTGTTCCTGAAACCTGGTGTCCTCGCTGCAGTTGTAATCCTTCTCTCTTCCCTTTGGCCGTATAACTGCTCATTGCCTATGTATCTGACTCCAAACAAGCCACACCTGAATACACACATTTATCTTGATTTTTATTTCAAAAAGAATCTTTTCAAAAAGGAAGTATAAAATATAAGGTAAAACAGTTTTTTGAACATTTTGGTGTGGTTTATAAATGATACCAAGATGTGCAATTTTATTTTGAGAACATATATTGAATTAAACTGTTAACTTTAGTAAAATACACCTCTTAAGATAAATATATATGTTTAGCCAAATAAGTGGGGAGAGGGAAAGGAAACACGAGTAAGCCATGCTAGCATATACCATGTAACATAAAGAAATTTGTTCAAACTCATATTTGGGACCTATTAAAGGTTTTATTTGTCTTTTAAGTCTCTCTTATTTCTAAGGTGTTTTCTCAGAATGTATCGTCTCAGAACAGAACCCCAGGAGGGAAATAATGTTACTAAAAAGGGAGATAATTGTTACTCATACACTGAGAGCTCAACCATACTCCTTTATAGATACGTTGTAGTATTTAGAGATGAGTCTGCAAGTGCTGTGAATCTTGCCACTTAGTAGAAACGTGATTGCTGCAAAGGCCTTTGATGTGTTCTGATATGGACCCAGCTGGAACAGTTGCTTTGTAGGTAAGGAGGGAAATAATAGGAAAATGGAAAATTGATCCCCCAAAATGGTCACCACTCCCCTTCCCATCTGTTTCCGGCAAGGTTAGTAGTTTGGGTTTTAGCAGAGAAAGTAGAAATTTCCTTAAATGTAAAATCCTAATTGCTGCAAATAGTCCAATATGGTGCCCTAGCTGGGGCCCACTTGGCTAGGAGAGAGAGTGGAAACTTCTGTTTTCTGAGAGCCGGACATGTCAGACTCATCTGTCATGGACTTCCCACACACCATCTCCATCATGCAAGCCCGGAACTGGAGAGAGAGGGCAGAATTGGAGATAGCTCCCTTGGCAGACGAGCACAGAGGAGATAACATCAGGAACTATGGGAAGAAATTTCTCTTAAATCCCCAAACAATGCCTTGAATAATGTCTAATGCCCAGGATCTCCTCTGGTGGCTTTGAGTATATCTTCCCAGACCTGAGACTGCTTGGACTCCAGTCCAAGACTTCTTGCTGCTTGTCTACATAATCCTACACATTCTGGCTAACTCACTGTTGGGGGAAAAAACTAGCCTGCCTCCTGGGAGCACTGTCAGAAGCAGCCCTAGAGCAGGTCCACCCCCCCCCCCATGCTCCCCCACTCCTACAAGGTCCTTACGATGGGGAAAGGACTGCCAATTGTCTCCATCCAGATTTCACATTCGTTTTGAATCCATCTCAGGAATTGAAGAAATAAAATAACTTAATTCTCAAGACAGGAACTTTCCTAGATTTGTCTTATTTTTTTGTTGTTGCTTTTTTTTTTTTTTTTTTTTTTTTTTTTTTTTAGCTTAGATTTAGGAATTGAGGGATAGGCCACCTGGGACCTTCAGCTGATAAGCTGCTTTAGATTTTTATGCACATGATTTCTGTGCTCCCCACATGCTCCTGCGGGCTAGAAGTTGGACAGGAAAGGATTAAGAACTGAATTGGACGGACTAGAATGTAAGGGAACTATCAGTTTTCCAATAAAACAGAAAACCTTTTCGCATCCTGTCCTTTGGAGCAACTCAGTTCTCACGGCTCAGGTTCTGTCTTCCCAGGGTCCTATGGTACTGTCTCCATGACCGCACCTTCCCTGTGCTCATGACGGCCTTCCTAGGCCACTGAGGGTGCCTGTGGCTTCCCTTGTTCACCTCTGAGTGCAGTCGAAGGTACTCAGAGTTAAAAGTCGTTGGTGACAAGAACCAGGTCCTATGCACTAGGATCTCCCAGGAATGTAAATGGGGAACTTTACCTGCTTATTCATGAAGCAGTAGATGATGGGGTTGTAGACGCATGCGCTCTTGGAGAAGAAGGCAGGGATGGTGACAAGCCGCAAGTCTAGCCCGTGGTTACGGTTGTTGACCATGTACATGGCCAGCGCAGCATAGGGCACATAACAGAGACAAAAGGACCCCACCATCACCACCACCATGCGGCTCACCTCCCGCTCAGCCTTCTGGGTGGAAGCCGACTCCTGCTGCTGGGCTGCAACCTGGGGGGAGCACAGAGAACACCACATCCTCTTCTAGCCCTCAACTCCCAGGTTTCTGGAGGGTTTGTTTTTTTGTTTGTTTGTTTTTTACCAGGGGCGGCACCTACTCCAATGGCCTCTCTTCTGCCCCAGTTTCTGGCCTAGTCCCCATGGCACTCCTGATCCTTGAGGAAGGAGGAAGGAGGCTCTGTGACACTGGAGGGTCACATGCATGTCCTGACACCTGTATTTGAGCAGAGGTGACTCCACCTTAGTCTCCATTCCTTTACATCATTCTGCCTCTCCCCGCTTCCTTCTTTGCTTTTATTTTATTATTATTATTTTTTTAATTCTCACCCGAGGACATTTTTCCATTGATTTTTAGAGAGAGGGAGAGACAGAAATATCAATGTGAGAGAAACACATCGATTGGTTGCCTCCTGCATGAGCCCCAACCAGGGCCTGGTCTGGGGAGGAGCCTGCAACTGAGGTTCGTGCCCTTGACCAGAATTGAACCCAGGACCCTTCAGTCTGCAGGCCAATGCTCTAACCACCAAGCAAAACTGGCTAGGGATTTTTTTTTTCTCCTTTTAGAAATCCCTTCTACCTGGCTATGGCATTTTCAGAGATGTTCTAGAACACTCCCCCACTCTTCCCTCTCACCTGGAGCCCCCTGACCCTCACAAAAGCCACTCACAGCTCTAAGGGCCCCCAGCAACTGAGCGTAGGAGAAGCAGATGAGGGAGAGAGGCACAATGAAGCAGAAGATGAAGAGGAACCAGGTATAGTACTCGCTGCGATATTTGGTGCCCACGGTGTACCAGTCGGGGCCACAGGAACACTGCAGGCCCTCGGGGATGAACCTGTAGGGATCACACACTCATCCACTGGCCAGCACTGGCTCACTGCAGGGCCCCCCTCAAGAACATGGAGTGGGAGCCGAGATTCCAGAGGATGCCCAGTGCCTGGGCAGGAAAGGTTTTCTGCCCTCACCAGCGAAGGGCATAGCAATTTGAACTGAAGAGTAAACTTTAGGAGTTATCTCCCATAGCCCTTCCTCTCACCTGCTCCACCAGTTCTTTAAAAACTAGAGATAAAAAAAAGTTTATACACAACTCTTTCCACCCACACCAGCCTCAGCTCCTAGCTCTGTCAGCATCGCTGCCCCGGGCTCTCACCGGCTCCAGCCGAAGAAAGGTGGGATGGAGACGCCAATGCCAATGGTCCAGGTGGCCAGGACCACCATCAGGGCGTGCCTGGAGCTGAAGCGGAAGCTGCCGAAGGGCTTACAGACGACAATGTAGCGTTCAAAGGCCAGGAAGGCCAGCGACCAGCCCGTTACCAGACCTGTGGTAAGACACGGAAGTAATGGGGCAGACAGCCCACCCAGTCTGGCAGGCGGAGGGGATTACAGAGTGGGGCAAGCATGAGGAGACAGGGTGGGACTAAGGGTTGGGGTAGAATTGGGATGCAGTGGGTCAGATTTCTAGTCTAGGCTTTGTATTCCAATATGCAGAAGAGCACCAGACTCCCCTAGATGCCTCTTTTGGGATGCATTCTGGGTAGGCGGGCCGGTCCCTGGTTCCAATCCAAGCTCGGTGTCCTCTGTCTCCCCCAGCCCCCTTCCCCTGCAGTACCTGCTGTAGAGCCCAGAAAGGCCTCCAGAGCACAAACATGGCGGCCGAAGACGAAGTATCCCTGGCAGCTGGCAATGAAGACGGTGAAGACGGAGAAGATGCAGAAGAGGAAGCCGCCCAGGGACACGTTGACCAGAATATAGTTGAGGGGCTGCCTCAGCTTCTTGTAGCGCAGGGTGGCCACCAGCACCGTGGCGTTCAGTGGGGTCCCTGCGAAGAACACAAAGCCCATGAAGGCTGCCTGGAGGTGGAAGGCCCAGACCGGGGCGATGTGGTACTGGGGCCCATCCCACGGTCCCACCGGGGAGATGTTCTTGAACAGATAAAACTCCTCCTCCCCGGACATTTTGCTCATGGATGTCCCCACCCCCTTTCATTCCTCTTATAGATTATCCTCCCCCCAACTCGCCAAAGAACCCATCTGGCAAAGCCACCGTGGGTTCCCTGAATGGTCAGTGCTGATCCTAAGCCTCCTAAGGACCAAGTTTGGGATTAGAGACCCTCAAGCCCCCTCCTAAACCTCCTTTGGCAGCCCCAAAGCCGATTGTGTGTCCTTCAGAAGATAAGAGATTGGGCTCAAAGAATCTGGACATGCAATCCTGGGGACTGGGATGAACTAGAGTCAGCTCACGAAGCCTAGGAGATGCTGGCCCATATTTAGTAAAGATGCTTACATCACTTTTTTTAAAAAATATATTTTTTATTGATTTTTGTACAGAGAGGAAGGGAGAGAGATAGAGAGTTAGAAACATCAATGAGAGTCATCGATCAGCTGCCTCTTGCACACCCCCTACTGGGGATATGCCCGCAACCAAGGTACATGCCCTTGACCAGAATTGAACCCGGGGCCCTTCAGTCCCCAAGCCGACGCTCTATCCATTGAGCCAAACCGGTCCTGGCCTTACATCACTTTTTAAAAATATATTTTTTA